TTGTGTTTACACACACACTCCTTTGCTCCATTGCCCCCCAAAACAAACACACACACACGCGCGCACGCACGCACGCACGCGCACACACACACACACACACACGCACACTCCATCATTTCTACTGAGCAAGACGCTCAATTTTCACCCGACCCCATCCTCCATCCATCTCATTTCCCTGCTAGCTGCACTTGCAGAGCTGGAGCATAAACAGAGCAACAGGGCTGCTGATAGCATCTGCAGATGTGCCGGCAACATCCCCAGATAAGAACCAGCAGCAGCATGCCCCCTCTCTAGCAAACAATAGAGCTCCTACTGAAATGTGTGGTAGGAGAATGGAGAGGAAAAAGAGGAGGGGTGATAGGAGTGGGTGGAGGTGAATCTGAGTGTAATGGAGGGAGTGGGAAAGAGACAGCGCAGTGGCAGAGAAGAGTCTGAAGGAGAGAGCTGAATGTGGAGAAGCTCTCCGTGTGCCCATCGAGAGCCGGACAAGGGTGTGTTTACTTGGTTTATCTGGATGGCCTGTCAAGCTACGGGAGGGTGGAGGGGCTCTTCATTCCAGTGGAGGGGTTGGGCGTTGCTCGAGGCCTTAAGGAAATAAGCACTTGAAGAAAGATGTGAGGGCAGGCCAGCGGTAGCCGCTCTTTGTTCCTCACGTGTTGGGCTTGATTGACAACTCCTTTATAATCCCACAGGTGACTCCTCTGACATTGGAGGCCGCTCTGTGGAGCTTCTCTCTGCAGCCTGTCTTACCTGCCACCCCCCTCCACCCGCTTTCCCCTGATAAGGAAGCCAGGGGAAAGCAGGGAGGTTAGACGGGAAGCGCAAAGGGATTTATGGTTGTAGTGCCAACACATTTATCTGTGCTTGGGTAATGGGAGCATCCGCTCCTATGGCAACGACCTCTGCAGAAGGTCAACCCCAAAATGGGCTGACAATGAGCTAAACTCCCAGTAAAAAAGCAAGACACCTTAACATGATTAAAGGCCCTAATGCAATCTGTATTGTTTTGGCTACAACTCAATTATCTTTAATGAAAGAGAGCTTTTCCACTAGAAACAACATTCAGAAGCTCTGTTTAAGAAACCCCCTCCCCCACATGTTTCTGTAGTTGGCTAGGGGGAGTTTGTGCCCTACCAGATAGCAGATAGTGGCATCCCCCTGAAAGCCCCAACCATTGTCCCCAGAGGGTAAGTCATCAGACGAGCCACGCTTGAGAGACCATACCTGAACACGAGGAAATTGCGCACAGGAGGCAGAAAGGTGACCGTTCACACACACGTACAACTCATCCAGCAGCACAGAAAATAGTGTTAAATATGATCTTTCAAATTATAATCAGCAGGCATTTGCATGAGTCAGCCATTCTCAATCCAAAAAATACAAGCGTGAACCCGGTCCCATTATCTTACGTGGTGTAATTTGCTGCTTTTGATTGCCCGTGTCACAGAAAACAGATCATAAGAGGGTTTCACTGTTGGTCAGACACAATAAGCAATTTAATAACAATGTACTGAACAAAGGAAAAATGTTTCTGAATTTAGAGTTATTCTGCAGATTAATCAGTAATGAAAATAATCATTAGTCACTGCACTGGGTTATAGTTACTCATTAACTTTAAAAAAACAAACAAAAAAAAACAACCTTTTTGTAGATGAGACGGTGTTTTGCAGACCTGCAACAAAAACTGCCAAATGACCCCTGCTGGCTGGGGTGCAGTTAATGGTTGAATGGCTCCTGTGAAGAGTGGAGAGGCTCACATTAGAGGTATGATGAAGCCAGCCGGGTTAACATTTATGTGTTTAGCTGTTTAATATTTCAAGGTTGTTGAAACGGGAGCTTTACCCACCTCTCGAAATTCCTCCTGAAGTGTTCCACCTAAACATCAGCCACTCCAGCTGCCAGTGAGGGGAGGGTTGTGTGCCTGCCCGTCTGCAGGTGCTGTGGGAAGCTGTGAGTCAACTGGAGGAGGACAGAATGGCACAGTTAGTATTGATACTGCTGCAAATAAGTATTTAGTCTTTTTCTTGTTTCTCTTTTTATTGTGACAACCCTCGTTCACTCAGAGGCTTATACTGTGAACACGTCCTTTTGAAAACAGGGGATTGGGTAGATATTTCAGTATGTGGTATACTGTTACATTATGTAAACAGCACTGATAAAACTAACTGCTTTGCGAGATTTGACATACATGCATATACAAATGGGTTTAATTTTAAAGCAAAAGTCTTGAATTTAACTCGTACTTGAAGAAAAAAAAATGTAATCTCATCCCTCTAACTAATGTATTGTTCCTATGGCAACTGACCTAGCCCTGTCATGCATCCATCTCCATCCATCAGGGAGGCTCCTCGTAGCCCCGCTGTCTCTTCCCCACATCAGGCTATCAGAAGCTGTCAGAGTGCCAACTGTACCAGCAGCCTCATCCCGATGTGTCATTATTCATGTAGACACAATTGAGTGTGTGTATTTTCATTGTAGGCAGGTCTCTTATGTTTTTTTCCTCCCTCTGTCTTTCACAAGCATGCGCAAGTAGAAATGAAAGCCGGAAATCAAACTTGTCACAGTGGTAGCAAGCATCCTGATCGAGACAGAGAGACGGGTTACTGACATTTATTTTGCAGCGACTGTCCTCTAAAGTGCATGCTATATTGTGTGTTACCAAGAGTGTAGTAGTAAAAAAAAAAAAAAAAGAAATAGTCCCCGTTACGAGTGAGAGTTGTCACAACTAGGTTCTGCAGCTGCGCCGCGGGGCCAATCTGCTGCTTGTCATAAATGTTTAGAAAGCTGTTCTTTACTCAAAATCTGGTCTTCATCCAGCGCGGTACCAGTTCCAAATGCCCCTCCCCTAGCTAAGAGCTGTTTAGCCTTGCTGAGTTAGCTTAACATACATAAGGAAGTTGGGAGGATCAGTGTCCCGAATACACCAGCACTACACATATAGGCGTCTGTTTTCATTCTTGTTCGCAACAATAAAACTATGCATCTATTTCGCGACTGCCTTCTGCTGTGCCATATTTCAAATATAACAACAGGCTGATGCGTCTTTCCTGGGTACCAGCTGCCTAATGTTTTCACTGTACTACTCTGTTCAAGCTGTGGCTGGATGCAAGGTCAGGAAATGCTTGTTCTGTCATCTTTACACAGCTCAAAAGATAAAATAAGGACCCCAGTCTAAGGCTGACTTTTGTGGCACACCACCCACACACCCGTCTTCTGTCTGCTCCTCTGATGTGTGTACACAACACAAGCTTTTCTCTGTGTATGCACTTGCGGTTACCATTGTACTGCACACATTATGTAGTTTAGAAGTACTGATTTATTGTTAGGTTTTTTCCACTGATGAGCTCATTGTTTGTTACATGTTTCCAACTGTCTCATTGGAGTAAGCAGTTTGAATTTTTGTTTTAGTTCAGTTGTTAACCAATGTCATTGTTAGCCATGTGTTCTAACTGGTAGCTGTTTGGATGAAAATTTAACAAAGATTAAAAAAATAAAAAAGCCAGTCTATTTATTGCACTGTATCACATCATTGTCACTCCACCCTGTTGATGAAAAAGACGAGCATGTTGCGATGACACAGCCAGACGTTCACGTTTCATCATTTCCTCAGCATGCCATGCTCGTGTCTGGCTTTATACGCGATGGATAATCCCAGTAACTTTTGTGTTAGCTTCCAGTACACGTTCGTTAATTAATTCTGTTTGCATTCTTGTCAATCTCGCCGAGGCCTCCCACCTCTCACCCCCTGATGGGATGAAAGTTGTTGTTACCTTTTACTGCCTAGTGGGTAAAGAGCGCGAGCAAACATCTCCCAGAATTTGTGATTCCAAAACGTCTATTTGCTTAGCAGATCGGACGCATTTAAATGTACAAGTTTGCATGCATTTTTAAGAAGGACAACCGCAGTGGCTGTGCAGCCGTAATATCTTCCCCTATGTGGGCCATGCAAACTTTGTAATTAAACATCAAGGTTTTCTTTGAAAAACCAGCTTGATTCTTGACCACTTCTGATATTAAATCTAAAAAAGCCCAAACTAACTCCCTCTTGGCACGGCATTATAAAGAATTCATGTTGTGCTTTTCATGCATGCAGAGACACTTAAGGACACAGGCAAAGCACCACCCCTCAACGTTTAATTTCATCACGATCTAGGCTGCATTAGTGCGAGAAAGAAATATTTTTCTTGTACAATAAATGTTGAAGTGCCTTTATGGAGAGTGATGGTGGGTGGGCGGGAGAGGGTGGTGGGGGTAGCGTTGTGGTTTTATTGTTTGGAGGGAATGTCTTTGAGTGTTTGAGTGGGTTCTGCAATACAATCCAATTAAAGTTTGATAACAGATAGAGCAAAGAAGAAATATAAACGCCTCTCTCTAAGAGCAGTTATCCTTGTTATTGTTTGCTTATGGGCGTCCATGGTGCTGTCTGAGCTTATTCATATACAGAATACATTAATGTATTAATGCACTATTATTAGGGGGTGGAAGGATTTTGTGTGCTAGATCCTGTGGAGAATCTTGGGGAAAGTGTTGTTTTTTTTACTTCTTATTTTGTTTGTTCAGGGTTTTTTTTTCTTTTCTGTTTTTAAGAAACCCAGAAGGAGTTGGTCCACTGGTAGGTTAAATATAAACCCTAAAATTAGATGCATGACACTTTGATCGGATGTAGAATATTATAATGGGACTCGTGGCTGCTAAAAAAATAAGTCTCGTTTTTAAGGTTTTTAGAGTTTTAGTAGCATACGAGACAGTCTTGATTAAAATAGCATCTACAACAAATGAACAATATCTGAAAGTCATGTTCTTAAGAAATGGGGGGGAAAAAATCCAGTAAAGACCTGACCTGAGAAATGCCTCTGCCTCTTCAGTTGATCCCGTTGAGCTACTGAACACTCGGTCTTAGTGGATACCTTTCCACTGAGATCATTTCTCATTTGAAGGTTGGTTGTTAAGAAGCTATTCTTAAGGAAAGGAAACGGGGAGAAAAAATGGAGGCATGCCAAGGTAAACAAAGAAGAAAACAAAGTCAGTGGCTATAGTTCTTATGGCGTGAACAATCCAAATTTGAAGTTTTTGATTTAAATTGGCATCAAAATGTACAGAGGAGGTCAGCAGAGAAGTACAAAAGTGAGTGTCTGCAGCCACCTGTAAAAAAATGGTCAAGGTTGCAAAAGAAGAGCTCTGAACGTCCTTCAAAAATCCTGGAGAACTATTCCTGAAGGCTGTTTAGAGAAATTACAAGAAAGCTGAGTAAGAGAGTTCAGGCTGTGTTGAACTATAAAGGTGAACATGCCAAATACTGGCTTTTAAGCTTGCTGGAATTGTTCAGACTCTGCTTTTGCATCATATACTGCATTTCCATCTATGTGCTGCAAATGTTTCCCACTCTCCTAGAAAAAGATAAAGAAATGAGGGGGCGTTCAAGACCTTTGCACAGAATTGCACTAAAGAGCTCAGGTCTGCATGAAAAACCAGTGATTTACAAATCATCTGAATATATATTGAGTTTGACTGTTTGACAGATATATATATATATATAAGAGATCGATATACACATGATATATATATGTGTATATATGTGTATATATATATGTTTGTTTATATACTTGTGTATATATACTTGTATATGTTATATATATATGTGTATATATATACGTGTATATGTGTGTATATATATACGTGTATATATATATGTGTATATATGTGTGTGTATATATATATGTGTGTATATGTGTGTGTGTATATATATGTATGTATATGTGTGTGTGTATATATATATGTGTATATGTATATGTGTGTGTGTATATATATATATATATATATATATGTCTATATATATATATATGTGTATATATATATATATGTGTATATATATATATATATGTG